CTTTTTGGGAGTGCCGATCGCGGCCTGATTGTGCGGCCGGATAGGCAGGAAACCATCCAGAGGTTAGGGCCTCTGAACCGTAGCTTCTCGCAAAGCAGCCAGGGTGGGTTGACGGGGCCTGGAGTTAAGCAGTACCTCAGTGCGCTTGCTGCTTACTCTGCCCGGTATCAGGGGAAGGCTCCGGCGGCTAGCACAGCTAGCTCAAAGGGGACTGCTGCTGGAGCAGTCTATGATGTGCCTGCCATTTCCCCGACCGTGGCTGAGTTCCGGACGGAACAAGTCCGTGAGCGGGCGGGAGCCCCTAGAGCTCCGCCTGCGAGATCCGCGAAGGCGGGAGCATCAGAAGCTCCGCCCGCGAAGAAGGCGGGAGCAATTGAGGTGAGGCCAATTGCTCCGCCTGCCAGTACGGCCACGGCAACTGCCTCTGGTCGCGGGACAGATCCGCCCGCGGACTGGAAGGGGCTGATCGACAAGACGGCGCTTTTGGCTGCTGCCGTTGGTCCGGGGTTCGAAGAGCGAACTCTGAGAGAGCACGACCAGAACAAGTACAGATTCCTGTTGGCGGATCACCAATATCATCCTTATTATTTGGAGCAACGGGAACGTGCAGCTAAGGAACGCGCGGAGCGGGAATCATCCAGAGGCTCTGCCGCGGTTCCGGAAGAAGATGATGAAATTGCTCCGCCGCCGTTGCCGGCACCGGCGGAACCGCCGACCGGATATGTGTCTCTCGACGACGAGGAGTCCGTTGAGATCGAGGAGTCGGGAGAGGGGGAATCTGGAGGAGATGATGACAGTTTTTATCCCGACGATCGAGGTGGTGGTGGCGGCCAGCCGTTGAGGCTGAAGAGCAGGAGCCGATCAAGGAGTCGGTCCGGGCCAGTGGAACCGGTGAGAGCTGTGGTGAAACCGAAGGCCACTCCGCCATGGAGGAGACCGGGAGGAGTTTTCGGTCCGGGAGAGTCCAGGCCGGCTCCAGTGCCGGGTCAATTTCCTTGGTCCCGCAATACGAAGAGAGTGAGTGTCATGCGGCGCTCCGATGAGGACGAAGATGATGACATTCGGCCACATCCTGAGTCGGCCGGCGCGAGCGGCCGAGGACCAGCAGGTGAACATGTTCGGAGCACCGAGAGGCGGCATCGAGAGTCCGCGCGGGCCGAAGCTTTGGAAGAGCTTGCTGCAGGCCGCGGTTGGGACTGCCGCCAATGTGGCGGAAGGAACGTCAAAGCACGGCTGACGTGCTATAAGTGCACGTGCTCGAGAGGGCCCATGCGAGCAGGACAGCTCGGATGATGTCGTGACAGAGGATGAGGATGCATTTCGCCAGTTCAGTCGCAAGCCCAAAAAGAGGGGCGGGCGACGGCATCCTGGCAAAGGCGACCGCAAGAAGCGCAGCAGAAAGAAAGTGCGGAGGCCTGGTTTCTCGAGCCGGAAAGGCCGGAACAAGAAGGCCCATGCTGAGCATGGCAACCAATTGAACCTCGTTTATTGGGGAACCATGCTTGCCCTCATCCCTCTTGGTTACAAAGGTGTGGTCCAGATTGACAATGTTGTGGAAGATGTCATGGGGAGTGTTTCGGTCAACACGGTCCTCTTAGTCGACAAAATGGGTTCGCAGGGAGTTGCTCTTGTGGAGACTATGGGGCTGTTCCTGCGGGCTACCTTGATGAGCATGTTTGTTGTTTTCATGACGTGGTGTGGTTGGACAGTATCCCGCAAGTGTAGGAACAAAGCCATGCACCGACTTCACGGCAATATGCTTGGGGAAGGCCAGAGGACCAAGAAATTCATGACAAGGACGGGTCATGTCTTTGTGACAGAGGAGTTGGTCTTGGGACGGAATGTTATGAAGTGTACCTGCAAAGCGTCATTGACCTGGGTACGGAATGCCAGCACATTATCGTGGCCAGGCAGCGATGGGCCGACCAGCCGCTGACCGGCGGTGTGGCGTCGACGATAGGCGAGGATCGGGCTGGGGGCGCCGGAGAAACCCTCCAGGCGGTCCCCATTCTTGATGAAGTGACCAGTCCGGGATTTTCGCTAAGGTCGCGTTCGGCTCCATCTAGGAGTGAATATGTCGAAGTCGGTTGCCTTCAAGGCCTAGTGAGTAAGGCTAAGGAGCTGGGTACCGGGAGTAGGAATAAGCAACCGAGAGTGGCCAGTGCGGAGCGGGATGACGCTCGCGGGCAGAGTTCAGGTTTGGTCAGGGACGATTTCTCGAGTCCGTTGGCAACTTCGGAGGGAGCCGTGTTGTATTTGCAACAGGTGCTCAACGACATTCGTAAGGAATCGAAACCCCCGGGATCGTTGCGATCTGACCACCTTTCCAGGCTTAACGCGGCTGTGTTCAATCTTTCCGGGCGAGGCGCTGTGGATAGCGCTTTGGCGCTCAAGGTCTTCCAGACCGTGGATAAGATTCACACTGCATACAACGCGGAGAAGTATGACAACTCGGATTCTGCCTTCTTCAGTAACTATTTGGCCTTGCTGGGCACCATGCAGAATCAGGTCTTCTTCAGCCAGAAGCAGAATGAGAAGTTTGTGAGCTGGATTAAGCTAGCCGTCGATGGGAGCGGCAAGCTGGTTCACTTGCTAGACAAGGCGCTGGAGACTGAGAATGAGAAGCTGCGACTGCAACTTTCCAGGCTGGAAAGATCGGATGAGCCGAGCCGAAGCAGTACTGAGCCCAGGTCCAGGGCCGGATGAAGGGTATAAGGAATTGGCCACTGCCCAGTGGAATAGGATAGGGAGCCCCCGCAATTTGAAGAATGGGGCTGTTCCCACAATTAAGGATGAGAATGCTCTGGAGTTGCATTCCCCGCCGCGGCTGGAGGCTGCAACTGGGGGCGACTGCAGATCTTGGCATTCTCATGCATGATTTTGTCATTGCAGCCATAGGCATTAGGCTTTGGTAAGTGAGCTATTTTTGCTTGAGGTTGCATGAGTGGACATGTCTTGCGAGTTGACATGTCCACCTTGAGGAAGTTGGAGTGGCGTGCCTATTTTGGCTCAAGCCACATGCGCACGGTGAATGAGTGCGCTGCCTGTGAAAACAACGAGCCGCTTCGCGGGTGTGCCAGAGAGTCGGGACACGGGTGAGACGTGGATTCTGGGTTAGTCCTTGGTTAGGATTAACGCCTCTCACAATACATACATACATACATACATACATACATACATACATACATACATTTCATACATTCATACATACATACATACATACATACATTACATAATTACATACATACATACATACATACATACATACATACATACATACATACATACATACATACATACATACATTACATACCATACATACATACATACATACATACATACATACATACATTACATACATACATACATTACATACATACATACATACATACATACATACATACATACATACATACATACATACATACATACATACATACATACATACATACATACATTACATTACATACATACATACATACATACATACATTACATACATACATACATACATACATACATACATACATACATACATACATACATACATACATACAACATACATACATACATACATACATACATACATACATACATACATACATACATACATACATACATACATACATACATACATACATTACATACATACATACATACATACATACATACATACATACATACATACATACATACATACATACATACATACATACATACATACATACATACATACATACATACATACATACATACACATACATACATACATACATACATACATACATACATACATACATACATACATACATACATACATACATACATACATACATACATACATACATACATACATACATACATACATACATACATACATACATACATACATACATACATACATACATACATACATACATACATACATACATACATACATACATACATACATACATACATACATACATACATACATACATACATACATACATACATACATACATACATACATACATACATACATACATACATACATACATACATACATACATACATACATACATACATACATACATACATACATACATACATACATACATACATACACATACATACATACATACATACATACATACAACATACATACATACATACATACATACATACATACATACATACATACATACATACATACATACATACATACATACATACATACATACATACATACATACATACATACATACATACATACATACATACATACATACATACATACATACATACATACATACATACATACATACATACATACATACATACGAGAGAGGGAGATTGGGGAGAGAGAGGCTTGGGGGGATGGGGAGGATGGGGAGCAGAGGGAGGGAGAGAGGACGACAGAACACACAAGGGAGACAAGGGAGAGAGGAAGGAGGAGAAAAGGGAGAGGACAATGTCGGCGGACTGAGCCGGAGGCTCTAAAGTTTGATTCTCCCGTGCTTTTTCTTCACATGTCCCATTTCAGGTGGCGACATGCTCCTGTTGATTGTCATTTAAGGCTCTCAATTCATCCAAAGGAGCCCCGGAGCTGGGGCGAACAGCGAAATCCATCGGGAGAAGTATACAAGGAAGGCCCCATGGCACGTGGGCAGCCGCTAGAAACGAGGACTCAAGCACCACGTAGCCGCAAGCACCCAACAGCTGCAAACATCCGCAAAACAATGGGACCACACAACTTCGGACAGAGCAGCCCCACTCAAAGTGAACATTTCCAAAGGCGACGGCCGTAAATCAATCAACGCACACATACATTCGTCCCTCAAGAGAACTAGAACCCAAAAGCACACGCGCGCACACACACATACACATACCAACATCAACATCAGAACATGTCCCCGAAATGAACGGAACCAACAAAAAACAATCATGAGCCGAACCCTGACACAAATACTGGAAGAATGAGGACAGCACGAACCAACAGCGAACAATTATAAACGCGGACAGCGCTAAACACCCGGAACCCAAAGATGCACATGCCAAGAACTAAGAGTAGAGCCGGCGAGAAGGCAGTCGAACATCGGGCCCTCTGTGGAACCCTGTTGTCAATTGTTTGCGCTTAGGAGTTCAACATCATCCCCCGTTCATTTTCAGGGAGGATGGGATCTTGTGCCCCTTGCCCCGAACCAATTGACCGACCTTTTGTCAATTCATGTGGGTCATTGAACCCGCTTGGTACAGGAGCCCACAGATAATCTATGTAACGACTCAAGATAGCCTTTGCCATTTCCGGAAAGGGGACCTAAGCTTCAACAGTCTGCTTCTGTTCGGATAGACATGTTTCCAAACTTTCCCTGTCAAACCAGCAACGGACTGCATTTGGGGTCTCAAAATTGGGGAACCCCCCAAAAGGGGTACTCTCAAAAAGAAAACAGGCGGCATCCCCAACCTCCCGGAACCGTCTAAAACCCCAAACCGCCCTGTGTTTTCTTTGTGGGGGTTTAGACCCCGTGTCGCTTTCAGGGGGAAAAACCCCTGCGGGGGGGGGGGGGGGGCTAAGCCTTGAGCCGTTTTTAAGATCGATCCCTTCTCCAGGTCAGGATCCGCTCTGAGGCGGCAGCTCTCTTCCACTGCATGGACGCAAGGCTTCGCCTGCGATGCCACACTCGGCTTTTGGCTAGGTCCTCCAGATTTGAGAGGTTAGAATAAGGGTACCCGATTTGTTTCTTTTTTCCGAAGTCTATTTTAGTAGGGCAACCCTCCCCCCAAAAAGAGTAAAAGGGTGCTAGTGCTGCCGGACCTAGTTGGTGACTCTTCTGTCTGCTTGGGAGGGAGGACATTCAGCAGGTTTTGGAGGTCCATAACCAAACATCGCACACCTCTGCGACCTTTGTGTGAGAGAAGAGCTGACTGACCAGAAAAGGGGCCGCGACATCCTGGTAATCTTCCATTTGCTTAAGCCCCCTGTAAAAAACAAGAATATTTCCAGTTGTGGTAGATTCCCTTTAAAACCAACAAGGGAAAATAATAATATATATATATATAATATATTCTTAAGCAAATGGCAGTAATCAGTCGACATGGCGCTTTCGATGAACGCAGCCGACTCCGATTCGGGGCGGCGAAACTGGCAGGACAAGCCAAGAATGAAACCCCCAAAACCCCAACCCCTACGACGGCCTGGGCTTCCCTGTGTCTCACGCTTTCCCGTGGCACGCAGGAATTTCAACTTCCAATCCTTTTGGTCCAGTCGAATTCAGGCAGATCTCAATGAGATGTAGTCAAGACCGTCGGCGCGTGACGCCATTGGAACATGCGGTGGCTCTGTTCCCTTCTGAATGACAGGAACCAGTAGCTTCATTTTGCCAGCCGACTTGGGACAGTTTTCCCTTGGAAACCGTTCCGGTGGAGCCCAGACTAACTCGCTTTGTGAGTCGACAAGTTCTTGTACTTCACCCAATGTTTGCAGGTCAACACATCCTTCCGACTTTCCAGCTGTAACACATCAACATCGAAACTTGCAAGTAACGACAGTGAAAAGACGGTGGAGTGTCATGAGTTGCGATTCACACAAGACCAAGCAAGCTTTCCAGGATCTGCCGAGAAGCCTTCAAACAACACCCAGATCTTCGCTTGGGTCTTCATTCGAAGAACTCAAAGGGTCGACTGTTCAACTCGAACTGAGGAAACCTGCACTGAGAACTCTAGGGGCTGATCCATCGTTCTTCTCAACCACGACATCCCGCCTCTCTCCAGTCTGTAATGAGCACGTGAAACTTGTTGTTCGTCCGCCTGGGCGAAAAGATCTGGGCCAATTCGCACCTAAAGGAGCCACTGGACACCCTATCTCTAGAGGTCTCCTTGACTGGAATTCGGATAAGCCCAATCTCAAAGCTCCGATGCATGTTCTGTTGATCCTGAAGATTCAACCCACATGCGTCAAATCAAGAGGGTGCATCACAATGAAATACATGAAAGAGGTCTACCCCAAAATTTCAAAACGACCACAAGGCACCACAAGGCCAAACTTCCAGACCAACTTCTGGTGCTATCCTCTACTGACCTTCATGTACCCTAGCTCTGATTGTGGCTCACTTGAGCCCCGTTTGTTTAATGAGAGAGCCCTCCACTTTGTCAAGAGAAGCCTGTCCCACGGAACGGACGCCTGATGAGAGCACTGCCAGTCTCCCAAAGTCTCCGTTTTGGTTTTTGTTGTTTGTTCTGTTCGTGTGTTTCAAGCACGTGTGTTTTCTTTTTTTGCGTGTCTCTGGTTTTTGATTATTTTTCAAACTTTTGTCCGAACCCACAGAAACTGCTAGAAACATGTCATAAGGCTAGGACTTAAAAATGATCTGATCCGCGAAACAAACCGGAAAAAAAGGGGAGCGTTCCCTATAACCCCCTTTCAGTGGAACCGTCCAGAGCAGACTTTTTTCACAGGCCCCGGCCCGCAGAATGGCCGTTGTCCTTTTGGCCTTCCTTCAAAACCACAAGGGTGCCCTCAAAAACAAACAAACCCACATACTCGCTGTCATCTGGTTGACCCTTTGCAAGCTTGACTCATTTGCCCAAAGGACCCAGAAATAAATAGTTCACTTTTTTTGGGACCGAAGAGGAGGAACCAAAAGGTCAGATTCGGTCGAATCGCTTTGGACTGTTGGAGCACATTTCTGGAACTTATATCTTTGCCTTTTTCAGCTGGCGCTAAATGTTCTTGGAAGCTCGCCTCATACTTAGTCGGGTTGCCCATTCTACAGGACGCCTCACAGATGGCTCTCAAAATCAAAGCTCCCCAAGGGCCCTCAGCCTGGGGCCCGCAAGCGCTTGAGATCACAGACCTGGAAAAGAAAGCTCCCCGATCCTTGACGGAAATCAGGCCTTGACGGAAATCAGGCAAACCCAAAGGTGAAACGATCGATTCGCTTTGGGCAAGTGAGTCATATATCGTGAAAACAAGATGTCCAGAGGTGAGGTTCAACATCCCCCCTGGCCGAACATCTCTTTAGCAATCAATGGGATCCTGGCGCACCTAAGCCGGTGCGCATGCCCGTCTCGCCGGGATCTACGAATCTGCAAGCCGGGCTCTCATTGCGACGCTTGGTTTCTAAGGTCCCATTCGAGCAATTCAAGCAAGCAACAAAGGAACCTTCATGGACAGAGTCCCTATAATTTAATTACCCTGGTCTTTGGAAAAATCCCGGAAAACCCTTGGACAGGTCAGCGCTGACCAATGTTCAACGAAGACAAGTTCAAGGGTGGTGGGCCTCCAGGGAAGCATCCCCATTGAACAAAGCACGCAAATGCAGAAGAGGGGTCCGTTTCCCAATTCATGGGAATCACCACCCTGCTCGGGGTGTTTTCGCGCTTTTGCCGGCAAAACAACACAAACCTGCGGCCCCCACGAAACATGAAGAGAACCAATGCGCCACCCGCAGAAAAGGCCGCCGCCGCCCCCTGCAACCCCCCGAATCCAGGGCAACAGCTTCATCCATGCTTCGTACTTCACTGCCTGGGCGCGAGACTCTTCAGGCAAGCCGTGAGAAGTCCGCTGGTCTTGGGCCAAATTGGCCTAGGAAGGGTGCCCTTTTTTCATGTTTTGTCTGTAGTCTATTTAGTAGGGGAAACCGCCCCCCCAAAAAAGGGGGAAGGGCGCTGCTGGAGGACCGAGTGGCCTTTTGAGTTCTACGGAAGAAATCAATGACCCAAGACTGTCTCCCTTGCGGTCCGAACACCGGAGGTCAACGCTTTGAGCACCCGACCTGGGGGGGGGGGGCCAAGGTCAAATTACTAGAAGACATTGCTGCCTTGTTTCTGCACAACATTTCCTGAATGACCACACAAGGTCCCGATAGAGGTTCTTGCGCGTGCTCTTGAAAAGAAAACTTTTGAAAGCTCCTGGGTAGAACATTTCCGGCAGAAAGAGGTTCTCTCTTAAAGACTTCGGGATTTCTACAGGCATCCTCTACAAGATCTGTCGACATGAGATCCTTGCAGAAGATCTACAAGACCTCTTGGGAGTGTCTCTACGCAGCAGCACGAGATACCTTTAGGTGTTTTACAGGATCTCTGCGCGAAATCTCTTGAAATGATCTCTTGGCAAGATTTGTGCGTGGGATCTCCGGACAGGGTCTCTTGCGCAGGATCGCTTGGAGGGAAATCTTCGCAGGTCCTGCGCAAGACCCTTTAAGTGGATCCCTGTGAAGGACTAGCGCGAGATCTCTTTGGGGGGACATTTGCAAGATCTCTTGCAAGAGAATCTCGCGCCGCAGCAGAGCGATCCAACCCATCCAAAGTCGGCAAACGGGGTTGGTTTCGATGTTAAAAACTGCGCACCGCGCCACAGCGGGAGCACTCAACATGCCCAAAGTCAGCAGCAGGTGCACCAGTGACCATTTCCGAAATTCGCACGGCACCACAGCGAGAGAGCACCCTCGAAAGACACCAACGTCGTGCGCACACTTTGCGCAAGCCTGCGCAGTCGAAATGCACATGATCATATCACAAGCAAACTTCTGTGCGAGCCTGCGCAAACCAATTCACCCAGCCCAGAGCGAGCACCCTGATCGACCCGGCCTTTTAGACGTACCATAAGAACCCCTTAGTGTAGACACACGGTTTGGGGAACAAAGGGTGAGACGTCTATTCACCGCACGCGTACAAACTACCACCAGTTTATTCAGACATTTTTTGGGGTCTGTCTTTCTTAAGGCACCCTTGCCGGGGGTGGCTTTGAATGGCCACCAAAGGCAAAACACACCTTTTGGTGGTGTTCTTGGACAAACTCATGTGATCCGGCAAAAACCAAAACGCATTTACACATGCAATGTCGGCTTCGGATTAGCTAATCCCGTGGGTTTTGTAGGGGGTCGTCCCCCCCCCCCAACCCCCCAACAAAGTGAGGGATTGCGGGACACCCCTTCAATCAACTAGAGGTTTCTCAATCCTGTGTTCCCACGACGGAGATGTTTACATTCCAACATGCACTACACATCTACATGGGGAGTGGTCAAAACCATGGCCCCTTTTGACCCTGATGCCTTGTGCAGCCTTTTAAAGGGGGAGTACCAAAAAGTGCTCCTCATTTTGACCCCCCCCCCCCCCCACCGGCACTCATTCACTCATTCTACACCCGACTCTGAGCTCCCTTCGGCGCGGACACGAAACGCCCGAGCGCCTTCTTCACGCACAAGATCCCGGCGCTCAGACTCATGGCCTAAGACCCAGGCAAAGAAGCCCCAAAGAAATCTGGGTGAATTATAAGATTTCAGCAGCCTGAATTTTTTGGTGGTTGGAGGGATGTTCCCCACATGAACCACCATTTGGGGTGAGGTCGTGTGAGGTCGTTATACTTCACCCAGAAGAAATTGATGAATCACCGGGATGCCCCAAGTCGCCATGCAATCATGCTTCTTGGTCGCTATCATGTCGCCATCGTGCTTATTGGAGACACGTGCTTCCAGAAGAAAATTATACTGCTACAGGAAAGGCTGACAACGCCCAGCAACAAACCCCGTCATCACCGGGCAAAAAGAAGCATGTGCGCGGAGTTCTGCCTTTTTTTTTTCGCATCGTGCCAAGAATGGCTCGTACCCGCTTCCAGGAGTGGATTCCCAACTCAACATGGGCTAAGCCTCCGAGCACCCACCACATACGGGTATGCACATGGAACAATCTTTACATGGTGGAAACCCACCATGAGCTTCTGGTGTTCCAACGATTAGTTGAAATCGCTGGGTTTGTCTGTGATATTTGAAGCCAAGGCTGAATTGCGGCTGACCTGACCATTACGGCTGCCTCATCTATCTTGCTTAGTGAGCTGAGCATACTTGCAGGAATCCCACACTTTCGTGGAAGCCATTGATTGCATCAGGGCTCCATGTCCCCAACAGCGTCCCCAGGGGCAACCACAAGGTCTCGCAGTACAAAATCGTGAACCTTCAGTTCCCAAACCAAATCCGTCTAAAAGCTAGAAGTTGCTTACTTTCCCTGAGTGGCAACAGGGACAAGAAACACAATGATACCAACAATTTGCGGGCCGTATCGTTCGGACATGGCTTCCTCGAGGCCCCCTAATCAAACATGCTACGGTAGTATCCCCATCCAAGTTTCTCTTATCGGAATACATGTCAAGCGGGCGTTTCTGCTTTGAAAAAAACCAAACCCAGTTTTCCTTTCAAAGTGGAACTCGTTGGAACCGCACAAAACCTGAACTGGTACTCAAAATGGGTGGTTTCCCTTCGGCTTTTGTAAACAGGTGTCCACAAAAACCAAGCTTCACGTCCCACTGAAAAAAGTACTCACATATATCCAGTACAGTACTAGCTCGCGTGTAAAAACCACAGGGGAATGCAACTGGGTTGCCCTCAGATCCCCTGCTAAGAGTTTTGACTTGTGAGTTCAATTCGGAAATCACCACTAAACCAACTAAAACTCCACTAAACAGCTTTCTAGAACCATATGTGACCCCTTGTTTGGTGATTTTAAGGAAACAAAAGGAACACCACTATTTTAGGGGGTCCCCCCCCCTTAAAAAAAACACAAAAACACGCATCTCAGAACCTGGGGGCGGTTTCGTTTGAACCATTTAGGGGGTGACTTTGAGAGTGACATGGTTGACGTTGGAAGGGGCGCACAAATTGAATGTTAACAGTTTTTTTTCGGGGGATTTGGATTTCAAGCACTAAACCACAAGTTCAGCAAAAACTTGCAGAACAAAAAGATGTTTCCCAACAACCACCATATACCAAAACCAGAGCGGATAATATCCTGAAACCGATGGGACGGGATATCGAAACGTCTCTCGCCCTTGGCCCGGCGCCACTTCAGTGAGGTGGGCTCGAAGTGCGCTGCGCTCGGGCTTATAGCAGCGCCTCGGATGGAATTTGTTTCCCTCGGCGGCGAAATCTGCGAAGCCCTGCTAAAACAGTTTCTTTAAATTTCATGTTGTTTTAGTGGTTTAATACGGAAAACCGCTTCATCAGTTGGCAAACACTTAAAGTCCTAACATCCCTTGGGTTTTTGTTGTCAGGTCGGTTTGGGCCCCAAAACCCGGCGCTGTCCAAACGAAACAAACTGAAGAAACAAACTCGTGTGGGCTGCCCGTTTTCTGATCCTCCGCTAAAAGTGACTAACTGTTAGTGGGTTAAATGGAAACTACCACTAAACACTAAACAACTAAAAGGCTAAGGGGATGGTTGGGAGCCACCACGTAACCCAACCTGTGCACAAAGGAAACCTGCCAAAAAGCAGGGGCGTGACTTCCGGCAAGGAAATACCTTTGACAAGAAGACAACAAAAAACCAAACTTTCGCAAGGTGGTCCCGGACGCACACACACCCACAGACACCAGCACGCTCATTTTGTGTGAAATTTGGGTTGGTTCCAAATCCCCTCTTTTCGGGGTTGGTTTCCCCAAGCCCAAAGCATCCCCGAATCCCCTCTGAGACAGCTCGCCCCTTTTTCATGAGAGGCTCATACCTTGCTGCTTGTTTCCTGCTTACAAAAATGGCTTTCTTGTGAAGCCATCGTGGTCAGGGGTGACATAAACAACAATACACAGTATTACTTAGTATAGCTCCACATATGGTTGAAGGGGAGCCACGTTCCAAAGGATTTCGGCAATTCGGATCCCGAAGCCCCGAAAGCATACAGGAACCCCGGCTCGTGGCACCAAATCAGCAGCCAGCTGGCCCTGAGTCGGTTTTTTCGATCTGGTTGCAAATCTAGGTCCTCCATTAGAGAGGTTAGAATAAGTTGGTACCCGATTTTTTTTCTGTAGTCTATTTTTGTAGGGGAACCCTCCCAACCAAAAAGTTGGGAGATAAGGGCACCTAGCTGGGGGACCTAGAAATCGAGCATCGAGCGCTTTTTTTGGTGGGCTCGTCTATTCCTAGGAATTCGACCCCCAACGTGGCTTCGTTGTTGTATTCCTCTTGGCTTCGCTTTTTAAAGTGGTACCCTCAAAAAAGGCGCTGTTTGATTGTGTCAAAGGGGCACCGAAAGGAAAATCAACATTTTGGGGGGTCCAACCTTTGTACAAACATATCCATTGTTTCCTCAAGTTCGCTGAGCAAGAAACAGTCTTGCCATGAGGCCCAAAGTTCTCTGCGCTTGAGATCGCTTTGGCGAGCTCAAGGAGTTGCAAACAAATCACCGCATGCTGACCCCTATTCGCCAAAAAACAGGCTTTCCCACCCATCTTGATGGGTAGAGGTACCAGGTTCTGCACATATCCCCCTTCAATGTAACCGATTGATCCGTGGCCGTGCTATACGGTTGAAGGCGCCACCCGCGCTCCCTGAATCCACATGCCGACTTTGGGAAGCTGAAAATGACGCCAGGACACCGCAAGTTGCTTTTTATTGACACTCATGTTTGACACTCATGTCTGGGGCGCTCTTGTTTTGATCCCAAAAAACCGCTGCCGTTCACAAGTTGTAACCAACTGACCTGGAAGTGAACAAGTGAAAGTGAACAAGTGAATCTTTGGAACCTCAACCGAGGGGAAGGAACATGGTATCGCTCGGCGAGCGATTCCTATCGGTTTTGGAGGTTGATGGGCATCGGATTTTTGGGTGGCCCCCCGCTTGGTTCCTGGTCACATTATTGTGTGTTCAACTGGACTCTTTCGAACATTACTTGGTTGACGTTGGAAGGGGAGCAACAAATTGAACTGTAGCCAAGTGGATTTGGACTTCAACCACTAAACCACAATAAGCACAAATGTAAAACGTTTCCCAACAACAACCATGATTACCCTTTAACAGTGGCCAAAAGGAATTCCATGAAGAGCAATTCTGAGTCTGCCACATGTTCCCTTCTTGAACCCTGTGCTAGACCGGAAGACAGAAAGCTTTTCGGGAGGTAAGCTGTTCATTTGTCTGCAGGCTCTACATTCTGGCTTTCCCCATTCGCCTACCATGGATATTTCTGTTTCCCAAAATAGAATGCAAGTAGGGACAAAGAGACATCGCGCAATTTACCATGCTTTCTGCTTGGAACCTTTGCAAATCTATCAAAATACACTGTGCTCTTCCGTCAAACGTGGACAGTGTGTCTGGGTCGTTCCTCAGTCCCGGCAACAAGTCACAAATTGCAAGGGCTAGCAAGCAAACTTGTCACATTTGGCAAAGTATGAAGGTCGCACCAAAGAAGATTGACGGACATGGACCCTAGTTGTATCAACGGCATTTTCAGGTTCGATTGGAGGGTGGTTGTGCGTGATGTGTACAAGTCGCTGGGTCATGTGCCCCTCTATGGGTAAACTGGTCAAAACAGAACAACCAAGTTGCCAGGACCCAGAAACAACAGGTTCACCTTTGAGGCCACGACTCAAAAGAATCGGTGCCAAACATGAGGAACCAGAAGGTCAACAGATTAGCGTTGGGCAAGTGAGACAAAGGTCGCAAGTTAGACAAACGTCTGCTGACTTGCTCGCCCATTCGGATTCTCCCGAGCGTGCGAATCAAACGTCGTTTCATTCGAAAGCCAAGCGCTGGATGTTGACACCGAATGGATCAAATTGGCGGTTTTAGTCCCGTGTCCCCCCAAAGTGAAGAATCACGCTAAACCTGCTCAACCGGAGCTTCATTCATTGATCAACCAGGGCTTTGTTTATGCTGGGCTCTCGTTGAGCAATCCCAAATGAAGGGAATCTTCCTCATAGGTGAGGTTGCAAATTAACATGGTTGTGAGGTATTGTGAGGTGGTAATTCAAGCTTGTCCAAAACAGGTGGCTAGTCTGCAAACGCGCACAACTCGATGCAAACCTGCCTGACGCGCCCCTCAAACAACAACTCATCATCTTCACCTGCGGCAGTTGCTGGGATTTACACTTCCGCAACTTACGAGCCACAAGAACACTTGCGGGTCCAAGGTCAAAGGGTCGAGCCTACTCTACATGGGGGGTGATCAATCTGCCATTTAGAGCCCCAACATGACCATGGGTAACTTTTCCCATGTGAAAGTTAGTCGTTTTTGGTGGTTTCGCTTTGTCACCCCATGCAAAGGACCGTTGATCCACCCCCACATGTAGCCTTGTTTCATTCTTTCAAGGCTACACAAACAACTTGAGGATCCTCTTTGCGCTCACTTCCAAAGATCCCGACACAGTAAGCAACTGTCTTGTTTACCACCGAAACTCATCTTCCCCTGAGTCCCAATCCAAGCCTGGTACAATGGTGATGGACAATCTTCGAGTTCCTTGTCCCAACTCCGAACTCTTTACCTAAAAGGATCAAGTCCACGAAGAGTGAGGCTTCCAATGCCTCCAGCCGGGACTTTTCTGTCACTCGCAATGACCTTCAGGCGGAAGCTGGCGCTGATTGTCTCAGTCATCTTCCAAGGCTTTGCAAAGGGACACGCCAAAGAGACAACGAGCTGATGGTATTCAGTGCACAAGTGGGCATCCATCCAACCTGGGCAAATTGCAGCTGACCTACCTGGAATCGTCCACACGGAACCTTGGCAAGGCGGATGATGTGTTTGTTCTCCTCTCGGCAGGGGAAACAATTTTCTGACTCTGCACCGGAAACTGGCATAGGCAAAGGTATAGGGTCCATGGCTTTGCGGTGGGTTTGGGCGGGGTTTGGGTTGATTAGAGCGGGTTTGCGATTGGTTTCGGTTGGCTGAAGGCTTGTATAGAGAAGGTTTAGGGTTGGCTTAGTGCTGGCTTGGGGTTGGTTTTGGGTGAGTTAAGGGTTGGCATAAGGTTTGTTTGTGTTTAGGCTTGGTTTAGGGTGGGTTGAGGCTGGTTTCGGGTGGGTTTAGGCAGGAGGCTAGGTTTAGGAAGGGTTTGGGGGTTTCGAGTGGTTTGTTTCGGGTTGATTTAGCGAAGCCAGCCGAGAAAACACAAACGCTTGCCCAGAGGACCTGGAAATAAAAGGTCAACCGGTTGGAACCTTGGCTAAGACATGGCCGAAATCAGGGAAACCGAAAGGCAAAAGGTCGGCTTTGGGCAAGATAAATGTCGTTCTGAAATTCACACGCCAACCCGAACAACTAATTGAAATTACGCCACACAACTCCAATGAGCGGCGATGCATGTAACCTGCTGAGCTAGGGCGGGTTGAGGCTCTGCGTTCGACTCAACCCAGGCGGCCGACTGACTGACCGATTCAGTCTGCCGACCGACTAGGGACCCTGCCACGACCCGGCCCATAGGAAAAAGAAAGCTCGGGGCCCTCATAGGCGATTCCGATCAACCGAAACCCTTAGGGACTTAAGGCCTGATTCAAATTTGCAACCAGATTCAAAGGTGCATATGTCGTGGCTGCCTTGGCACGAACCCTGCAACCCCCAAGGAAGGGCTCTTCATGGCACTCATGTGTTGTACCCAGGCCTCAATTTGAATGGGTGCGTGCACTGAAAAGCAACACAAACCCATGAATCGGAGGCTATACACCCTGTCCACTACCATGTAACCACCTAGGGTCCCTTTTAAAGGAACAAGGGACGTCTTCCATAGTCTTCCAGGACCCCGAAACACGTCAGGTCCCATGGCACCGGGTCAGACGTCGAGCCTTCGGCATCCTGCTCCGCGACCGTGGTCTCGGAGCCTCGCGCCAACGGCGCGGCGGGATTTCTGCCGCGAGCTTTTGTCTCACTTCCAATAAAAAATGACGGGCCAAGAAAGCAACGACACTTTTGATGAACCAAAATGGTCCTCTTCTGGAGACAGGCAAAATCACGCGCGAAAATTTGCTGTGAAGTGTCCATCTGGGGACCCTTGGACATGAACATTCGGGGATTCATGTCCACAAACCACTTTGTCTCACTTCCAATCGAGTGGACGGGCCAAAAAAGCAACGACACTTTGTATGTACCAAAATGGTCCAGAGTCCAAACCCAAAAAGTCTAAAGTGCATGAAGAGTTCTTGCTGTTCAGCTTGCCCCTGTGTTGTCTGGAACTGCTCGTCATGCATGCCCCGGACGGTACCGGGAAATTGAGTCCTCAATTGAACAGGACATCCTTGGCGCAACCCGTCGCTGAAACATAAAATCCTCCCCGCAGGTCCCCGATGAAAGGAGCAGTTGCTGCAGCTGTGAACATATCCACCCCGTTTTTGCCGTGCCCTTCGAGGCATGCAACATCACAAACACGTCCGTTGCAAAAATGGCAACCCATATTTGTTTCTCCTTGTCCATTCACCCTCCACCCCCCATATCAGGAAAGATCGCAGCGGTTACAAACGTGAAAACCCAATAATATGTGTTCTTCCTTCTATTGAGGGATCGTGCATCATTTGGGCCAGAACCCGCACTTTTGTACAATTGCGATCCATTCAAAGCTTTCCCCGGAAAAAAGAACAACAAAGAACACACAAGAGATGGTTGGATTTAGGAGGCAAAGTGGCAAAGAAGTCAACCACCGCATGGCAAGTAAATCAACACGAATCGCTTTCCCCCATCGCCACCCCGCCCAAAACATGATATATAATCGACTGTTGATTGATTAGTACAACTACCATGTTCCACTTAGTAGCGACCACGTATGCTCTTCTCGTCTCTTCCGCTGTTTTCAGGGACATCAAGCACCCCAAAGATCCCTCAGAACCGTCAAGGAGTCATTGGCCTGACTTGGCCAAAGCCAAGGCTTATCAAGTCCCTACCTTTTTGGGCTGTGTCTAGGGCCCCTCATGATCGCCACCTCAGCTTTGCCCCCCAAGACTTCCATTAAGACCCCGGGAGAAAACCAGTAGTGAAATCGATCCCTTTCAAAGCACCCGGGGGGAAAAAAACACCAAAAACTTCATTTCACCAAATGGAAGAAACATATCTTGGCCATGGGTACGCAGCTTTAAGCTTTTGGCCCCATTTACCAAATGCCATTTTGGTACGTGTTATTGAGCCAGCCATATTTATCCAGTAGTGAAATCGATTCCTTTAAAACCACCTGGGAAAAATTAAAATAAGAATAAGAAGAAGAAGAATACATTCTTAACCAAATGGAACACAAACATATCATAGGTCCTCATCCCGTGTTTGCAAGCGGCACTCACGGACTCGACCGAAAGTCCTGGTGGGTCCGATCGTCCGCGCTTGGCTCCGATGGACTCACCTCTCAACTGTTCGCCTAGCCGAGGGCGTTTTCCGAAGACCCCATGGTCATGTATAATCTTTTTCTGAGTCTTGATTCGTAGCAGAAATTACCTCATCTAATAGACTTTCCCTTTTTCTCGTCTATTAGATGACCCCAGGGGGCGTTTTGGGGAGAAGGGGCCGTTTTCTTAAGCCCTTGGCCCGGGCATATGGGTTCTCCTGCCATGGTATGGGTCAAAATTCAAAGGAATTGGGCCGCAGGTGTTGTGGCCATTTGCCAGGGTTTCATTTGGGGGACCTATTTGAAGCCCCCAAGGTGCAAGGTTTCAAGATGGAATCCAGCCCTGCATAAATCAAACCTCTTGGTGGTTTGGTGGCTCAGGGCTCCAAATCCCCATTCCAAATCCAAACCAATCCAAACCGCCAACTACGGTCGGGTATTCGCGTCGGGTTCCCTTTCAAACGACCCCATTTCGGTTGGTCTTTTCAACAAAACACCCCAGAGTCCGGTTGCCACCTCTGGGAACGCCTTTCCGTCAAGCAGTTGGCGTCCAAATTGTTATGCGATACCAAGGCCTGAAAAGAACATGTACACAGAACATGTGGGCATGGGTCAAAATTCAACCACGCAGGCTTTAGTCCATGTCCATGTACCCTCCCCCCTTTTTACCATGGAAACTGACCCTCGTGAAATGGTCCCTTTTAAAAGGAAATGGTCCAAACCAGGACCCCCCGAACGTCAGGTTCCTTTTTCCTGTGGTGCGGATCCAGAGTTGGACAATTTCTGTTCGTATGAGGCCAAGTGAGGTGTGGAAGCCACCCACAGCCAAAAAAGACACTGCGGGTGGACTGCGTCGACCCCAGTTCAAGGGTAATTGAATCTTGCTTGACTCAACTGTTTGGACCATTTGAGTCCAAACGTAGCCAAACAAAACTGGCTGCGCTTTCATCGATGCCTGCTGCTAAAAACAAGGGCCTACTGTAACACTGTAGGACCATGCAGCTCTTGCATGCACATGACATACGTACTTGAACATGTATCATATGTAGAAAGGCAACTTGTTATTGTTGGAATCAGCTTACAATCCAACCGCATAAAAGAGGTTCGCGGTCTCCGCAAAAAAAAACAAAACTCATATACTAGAGCTAAAAATTGACCGAGCCTCTAATATGAGCAACGCTTGATTTTCATTGTACTACGCAGTAGAGATCAGAAGTACTGAAGCTGCTCAGGTCAGTTTGGGGCCATTTTTGTTGCCTGCCTTTTTGGGCAATCCCCGTATATATTCGTCTATTGTTTCACCACCGGAGAAAAGGCCAATTGCTCCTTCGCAAAACAAACTTAGAGTTGCTACATCAGGACATTATTGTGAAAATCGTCGGTGGGCGTTGATTTCTCCTGTCGCAGCCATAAGCCCAACCAAGAAAACAACTCTTGGAGAATGATTGCGGACTGTCACTAACATGGAACTAAGAGAAGTCTTCTAGAAGTCCTTCCTGCTTCTTGGCACCTGACTTGATCTTTCTTAGATGGGAAGGGAATGTGGCAAAGGGCGCCTGTCTAGTTTGCACCCTGACCAACGAAGAGTACTCAGCTTGCATTTTGGTAGGGCGTGGGTCTTCCAGCGGCAAATCTGACCTTTTGGAGGCTGTCTCCAACTCTCACTTGCTCAGAGGACCTGAAAATGAAAAAAGGTTCATTTTGGAACCTTGACTAGTGAATATGGACCGAATCAGGGACACAGACAGGTTAAAGTTAAAAGGTCGATTCGCTTTGGGCAAGTGTGTTGCCCGATCTCAGGTTTGCTTTTGATCCACCAAAGACCAGCCACGGTTACAGCCTAGGTCCTCCTGTAGAGAGGTTAGAATAAGGGTGCCGTCTTTTTCCGTCGTCGATTTTAGTAGGGGAACCCTCCCCCAAAAAAGTTGGTAAAAGGGCACTACTGGGGGACCTAGCAGCTGATCAGCTTCGTGCGCGCCTCGAGAAATGTCTCCCCCAAGTTGCCTGCGCCCTGCACCAAATGTCTTGTGCACCTCTATCAGTTTTTTCCCCGAAAGCCATCCCCTATGGTTTCCTTTAAGGGAATCCCCAGGAACATGTCCTCATTCCCTACCTATCGCACCGGCGAGTTGGTTCTTTTCTTTTTGTTGGGGAGGAATGGAATGGAGACCAGGCATGACCGATGCCCAAGCCACGCGCCGGCCTCGCTTGCGAAGAATCAGGCTCGCAGCAGAAAGTGTGTCAAGGTTGTGTCCTGTCGTGGGAACCAAAAGGTCCAACTAGACTTGGGTGTGTCGTTGTGGCTACCCTTCGGGCTGGTCTAAAAGGAACACAAAAGCCCGGGGCTCAAAATTTCGGGTTGGCGAAATCCGCCGGAACGGGACCCTTGGCGTCACCGATGGTAAGGATTCGGGGTGAACTTTGAACAGCCCAGATAGGACGATCCCATTCTGAGGGTCTCCCTAGGTACCGAGGTACCAGCAGATTCCCTGCGGAGGTTCGGTCTGGGGGCCCATAGATTTAGGTGTGCCTGTTCTTCCTGGCCTTCAGATTGCCTTAAATCAAAGGAAGCCGCACTGAGCGTTCTCCTTGCTCGACCCTAGATGACAAAAACTCATTCTGTAGTAGTGATCATCTAAAGCCTGCGGCAACCGTACTCATGGCTGGAACAGCCCAAGTATTGAGCTTGTAACGATCGATTGACATAATGTTGAAGGAATGCAGAGAGAGAGAGAGAGAGAGAGTTTTAACATGTTTGGGAGTACATTTGGGAGTCCCTGCGTTTTGCCAACAAAAGTGTCAAGAGTTTGTAGACAGTTGGGCGTTTTCCATCATTGCATGCCCTCCTTTTGGAAGTTTGCAACAAGGAAACTAAACTGGACCTCTCTAGTTTGTCCTGGGTCACACGTACACGCCCTGCAGGTTGGGTTGTGTTCAGGGAAAATGGAGGAGTACCAAAAAGGCGACTTTGCTTTGTGATAGTGGAACCAACCGGCAAAAATCATTGCCATAACTAAACCACCAATAGCAGTCCAATATAGTTCAGCTTCATTTCCAATTCCTGATGCACGCCACATGTTGAACCATCCTGATGCTACTTGTACACCAGAGAAACCTCCACCAACGTCACCATTCAGAATTTCTTGAAGAGAAAAGCCTGGCCATGTGACCCGCACTTTTTGAATCTCTGACCCTGGTTTCTTCAGTGCCTAGGTGCAATCTCTCATGTCCTGCCCCATCAGGAATGTTGACCCAGGATCTAAGTAGAACCCGTCCCTGTATTGCTCACTTCCGATCGAGTGGATTGGCCAAAAGTCCGAACTTTTTCTTCTCCCAGAGGCTCCTGGTGCTTTCAATGGAAGACCCGACCCCTCCATGAGACACCCCGGGAATTGGTGGTTGGGGGTCTCAACACCAGGCTGTTCGAAGGCCCTGAATCAATCGAATTGGAGCCTCTGGGTACCAGCAAAATGGTCTTCAAAAAACAAACAAACATCAAGTCCAGGAACTTGGGGAGTGAGCAAATGGTGGGGGACCCCCCCCCACTACACTCAGGAGCAGGGCTGGGGGGAATGGAATCCACTTCTGTGATACAACAGAAAGGGCTTCCCAACGACTATTTTGTTGATATACAGGGGGATTCCCTTGTATCACAGAAGTGGGGAGAAACCCCTTGATCCCACAACCCTGCTCAGGAGACACCCCCTGATCAACCAAAGGTTCAAGATCAGGGGTTCTACAGCGATAAATGGCTGCCTTCAGCACAGGCGCCATGTAGGGAAACGAGTCCCAAACAACTCAGGGCCTTTGTCCATTGGTACCGTGGATGGACAAGATCCTGCACCAGCAGGTGGTTCGTCCCAATATTTCGAGGGTGTCCTCCATCCTAAGTGCGAAGCGGAATTTTGTCCATCCACAACAAGGAGCTTGGACATCTGAATTCGTGTCCCACTCGGTGACCTACCATGATGGTTGATTCCCAGCTCAAAGTCGTCGGAAGGACATCGGGTCTACGGGACTCTCTGCACCCTTCCTTTTGGCGAAAAGCGGTCCATGAGCAAATCAAGTGGTGTCATGGTCGTGCAAAGGTGATGCAGGTTCAGCGAGTTTTGTTGGGCTGGCCAAACACAAAGCGGGGATACTCCTTGTGACAAGAAAGTGGCCGGACATCATACTTTCTTGCTTGGGGGAAACTCCGACAGAAAGTGGGAACCGAAAGCTTGGTCCACAAAAGCAGATTTGACAGTTTTCCGTCCCTTACATGTACGTAGGCGTGGTGTGCGAAGGGTGTTTGCTCTTTCCCCAAAAGAAAAATGAATCTGATACTATCCGTCATGCCCAGTTGCAGAACCCGGCATCCTCCTGTGTCGTCATCTTGCAGGTCAGCGTCCTGCGCAAGCAACAGGTACAGTGAGGGATGCCCGAAGAACGCAAGCAGGCCAAACTTGCAAAACTCGAGGTGAGCCTGGAGTGAGGTGTGGGCATGTGACGCTGGCGAAGCTCTACTTGGGAGTCTTCCTTAGCTTAAGTACCAAGTTAACCTGCTTGATTCTGGACTGGGGTGTTTGGATAAGTTAGTAAAGTGGTTAAGTAGCCACTCGGGGTATAACCTGCTAAGAACCAGGTCAACTCCCCTTGAGGGCACCTCTAAGTGGGTTCTATGTTGCCAAGAACTTACTGACTTGGTGAATCGAACACCCAAGTGAACCTATGTAGAACCATGTCAGGAGAGAACCAGAGGCATCAAAAAGACGGCAACCTACGTGCAATCGGCTCATTGACAGTTATGCCGCCAGCTTTTCAGCTTTCTTTTATGACCGAAGCCGCCGGGAAAGTTTCTGGGCATGTGGAGATTATCCACGCAGTGGCACTGTGGCGGTGGTTTTTTGTGTATAGTCCGGGTGAGCGAATATCCACTTTGCTTGGGGTTGGATCGTCATGAACCGAGTGGTTGAAACCGGAAGAGCTGTTGATATTCTGAACTCGCCCCTCAAAGGACGCAACAAGTGTGGGTCGTTCCATCCCTTCGGTCGTGGCTAGCCGAAATGTAAAGGCACCTTTTGGGTGCGACCCACTGGGGCAAAAGGGGTGGCTCAACATTTCAAGCCAATCGCCGTGCGACACTTTGGATGAACAGATTCGTGCAAACTGAATGTGCATGAAGCACTTGAACCCCAGAGGGGCTGGTACGACATCAACCTGCGGTCCTTGCGGAAAGTCATGGGTTACATTTTGCGAGTAGGTCTTCCCCCCCGACGCAATCAACGATCACCAGTTGCAGGTTCAATGAGAATTCCAATAGCAACTGTCTCCAAAAGATCTGATATGGCTCTGCCGAGTTCTGCACATTCTGGCTTAGAGACAACAGGCTTGCGAGCACATCGGATACGGAACTCAGATGCCCCGTGGATTTCCATGGGACAAAGAGGGCACCCCTTTTTGTTGCTTGAGTTTAAAGGGGAACCCTTACCCAAAAAAGAAAAAAAAAGGCACCACTGGGCATAGCACAGTTCCAACAAGAAGGAAGAGTCCAGGAAGAGTCCAGATGCCCTGCCGCCCAAAGCACCGAGTTGATCAATACTTTGCCGCTCAGCACTTCAAACGCCAAGCAAAACCGGCTCACTTGAAAAACACATTTTCAGCACACCTATTTCTTGGTTGGCGTTGGAAGGGGAGCAAAAAATAAATAGCAGTTCAGTGGGGATTTCAACCACTAAACCACAAGTTCAGCAAAAATGTAAAATGCTTCCCAGCAACCACCGTGATTTGGAGACAAACTCCAAGAGTCCCACGCCTTCGCAACTGCCTCATCAAAGATTCTCCCGCCTTCGGGCTCTTGGCCGCCGTCGGGCTCGAGCTTGATGATGGACCCTCGGATCTTCATCTCAAACCACCGGCGGACCAAGCCGGCAAGCAATTCTCAGGTGAACAGTTGGTGACGTTTTCTGGGACTGACACGGATTTTTCGGGCTATAAACCCAGAGGTTGGACGTCAAAGATGGCAATTCGATGTTGACCGTCTGCCTCTCAATGACTACTTTTGGTGCAAAGGTATCATGTCAGCCTTTTTCAGGGAAAGCACATATATATATATATATATATATGCATCTTTGTTTGCTGAGCCCCCTGCTCTTGCAAATCATTTCTGTCCGAGTTCCGTCCCATCTACGCATCTAAAGCACATGTTTCTTGACAAGCCCCTTGCCGCGGGACCCTTTGGGGCCTTTGCGGGCTAACGGAGTTGTTCGTGCCTTGGGAGGTCCATGGCTCTCAGTGAATCTCAGTGAGTGACATAGTGCGTGCTCAGAACTGCCAGGTCGTGGGCTGGATTCCGCTCTGTGCCGGCACTTTTCAAGCAGGATCTGGCGGTGTGGGTGTGTGGCGCGCGCAAAGTCATAGACACCATTGCTTTAAAACGGCCTTGTTCTAATTCTACTGGGCTGGTGTGAACTCTGTTTCGCTTCGGGCTGACGTCGTCAGTGGGCGCGCGTCGGTGTGTGTGTGTGTGTGTGTGTGTGTGTGTGTGTGTGTGTCGGTGTGCTTGTGTGTGTGTGTGTGCCTGGGTCTGAGTCTGAGTCTGGGTCTGGGTCTGTGTGTCTGAGTGTCTGTGTGTGTGTGGTGTGTGTCTGTATGTGTCTGTGTTTGTTTGTATGCGTGCTTGTGTTTGTGGGGGCTGTGCTGGTGCTTGGTTTAACGGCGAAGAAATCGATAGAAAACTCAATAGGCGAGTTCTAATTTAACTGGGCGGCAGGGCGGGGTCTTTTCGGTGTGCTTCAGGCTGCTGCTATTTGTTGGGATTGGCACAGGGTGTTCGACGTGGGGGGCGTTGTAGTATGCAAGCTCTCTAAGTCTTTGCGCTGCAGCACGAAGAACACGTTTTCTCCAGCTCTCATTGAACTGGGCTGTGCCCTAGCCGCCGAGGCGGGCTTGCAGTAGCATTTAAAACTTAGGGTGTCTGCATTCTGAGCACTTGTTTCATGTTGAATCCTTGAAGTTGGCCAGACTTGGACCCCAACTACACAACAGTTCGTTGGTTGACGGGGAAGACAAAGGAAATCCGACAAACAGCCAAACAGCCCTAACTCTCGGCCAGAGCTCGGCCCAAGCGAAACTGAAAATCTGGCAGCCAGGGTGCTGTCCAAGATAACGGAAGGCGCATCACCGCTCAAGTTTGCCTCGGATCCGCAAGAAAGTTAAGAGCCCCCTGGGGAAACACCCGCCGGCTTGTCAACCGCACCTCCGGTTCAGCTTCGTCTTTTCCCCATCAACACTCCGGATGACACCAATCAATTACAACATTCTACCCCCCCCCCCCCCCCGGGCACCGCTGCGTGGGGGCGGGGGTGGTTGACCCGTCCCCCCCCCCCCCCCCCCCGCATTGGGGGGTGGTTGGCGGGACTTCAAGTACTTGAAACAAACAAAGTGGGTGGGGTTGAATCTCATTCCGAAGTTGAAATTCAGTAGCACGCTTTCGAGAAAGATTAAACAAAAAGGCACCCCAGCTTTGGACTCCCCCCGCGAAAAACACGCACTGTCAGAGATGCACAGCCATGTACTGAGAGACAATAATCAAGACAGAACACCCACAGGAACCTGAGCCGCTTTGCCTACCTCGACCCAACTCACACGTGCTATTTACAAACGGCTTATGGGGGAGAGGAGCCAAACCTCGTCCCCGAAACGCATGATTTTCGGATCTGAAAAACCGTGGGACTCTGTAGGAGCTATTAACTTCCCCAAGGCGGCCCCACGGGGTATGAAGGCTGACAGGGACGCGTCTGTCTGCGGACCTCTTTTTGGCGCTCGACAGGCTGTCAAGTCGCGTGCTCCGAGCATCGCAAGGGCAAACAAGGTGGCAAACAGGGTTCCTGGGAAACTTTATCCCCTAGTAGTTCCAACTGCTAAACCAGAACTTATGGGTTAAGCAAGAAAACCCATGGGTTAAGCAAGAAAACCCACCTCTCCATCCTTGCGGTTTCTCTTTGAGCACCCCTGCCAAATTTGCGGGTTGCACCGCGTGCAACGCCGCTCCGTGCATTGAATTGGCCTCCCGGCAAGGCGCGCGCCTCAGGCGCGCCTCAGGCGCCAGGGGCTCTCAGCAGCCCTGGTGAAGCTCATAGAGGATGTGCTGCAGGCTATGACAGGCGAACCTAAGGGTCCCCCCCCCGCGCCCAGGGTCCCAAGGGCGAAAAAAAAAACAAAATGTTTGGTTTTTTTTTTCGGGCTCCCGATGAAGCAACAAAAGCAGATCAAAACAGGAATCAATTCGCACATGTAGATATATATAAAAATCTATATTTGTATATTTATTTGTTTATTTTCAGAAGGTGCACTGACAGGGGCAACCATCTGCACTTTCCTCTCAGTGCAGAGCATGTTTTGGTGTCAAGATAGTTTGTACTTCCACCGAGTCCCGCTTCCCGAGCTATTTCTCAGTCCCATGGCTTTGGATTAGCGCAACCCGTCGGCTCGAAAGGCGCAAGGTTCCCGATGGAACGCTGGAGGCGATGCCAGTGAACGTTGGAGCCCCAAGAGCAGAAAGCTATGGGGAAGTCCAGGGTTCCGGAGATGTTCCAGAGTTCCGGGGCTGGGTCCCGATACCACCTTTTAAAGCCAAGAAGGAAACATAAAACATGCCTTTTAAGCATCTGGAACTTGGCTGCCCTCAGATCCGACCCCTCAAAGTTTAACTTTTAGTGGGTTGAACTCGGAAACTACCACTTAACACTAAGAGTCTAACAAGCCAAGGAACCGGATGACTGGTTGAGCCACCAAGGGAAGTCTTCCCTTTTGGGTCAAGGAAAGCTTTTGGGATAAACTGATGCCCGTCCCCTTCGACGCCGAGGGGCGGGTTCTTGTCGCAAGGGACACCCAGCTGTGCGCCCAGCTGCTGATCCACCCGTGAGACCAAGTCATGCCTCGCTCCAGCTTCAGCTTCTTCTTTTCCGATTTGGCTGTGGGTCAAAAATAGGTACCCAAAATGGCCCTACATCGAACCAACGGCGAAAGCCTGCGCAACTCTGGCTCTTTAAATGTGAGCCACACCCATGTTTTATGACTATTTGTTTCTTTTCTGGGAGGTCAAGGGGGCAAGAAGCACAAAGCAACATGCCAAGCGAGGGTCAAGTCCGGAATTGTGGATGCCTGTCCACCTCCCGGGACTGAGTGAAAGTCAGCGGGTGATAGGGCAGAACCGATGTGCGCCCAGCTTGGCAGCTTCCGACTTGCACCCTATACTCATTGGTCCAGAGATAGATGAGCTTAAAACTTAAAAAAACAAAAAAAAAAAAAAAAAAACCAAGCAGATGTCCGCGGATGTATCCCGGGAGTTCTGCTTTGAGGCGATCACATTTGTCTTACAATGGCAGTTACGAATGGCAGTCTAGAATATCTCAAATCAAGAGCACTCTCTGAATAGCTCATGGTCATACCTCCGCCAAGGGTCGTTCAATTTCCCTGCTAGCTGGTTGACCATTTCTTCCCTCAGCCAAGCAAACCGCTGTTTGGACCACCCTCACTTCCTGAGTGGACTGCCAAGACAAGTAGCCCATCTTTTTGCCAGTCAACTGGGCTGCCCTCAGATCGCCTGCTAACAAGTTGAAGTTTTAGTGGGTCAAATTCGGAAACCACCACTAAACTCTAAAAAACTAAGCCAAGGAAACCGGATGGCTGGTTGAGCCACCAAGGAACATGGCCGCCCCATAAACTGTTTGGGTCCAAACAGTTTAGGGTCAGCTCAGTGAGAGATCTATGCCCAAAGGATCGTCCAGGGCGCTCAGGCACCACCACGGTGGACAAGCGGTCGCCTGGAGATTCCCATGTCTGATTCGGGAGTTGGCGCAACCCGTTCTTTTCTTTGGTGGTAAATGGAAACCAACAGGAAAACTGTCGCCCCATTTTGGGGGCCCAACCGTTAAAGAAGACGAGCCACCGTTTTCATGAACCCCTTGGTCGGGCTAAGGGGGAGGGGTGCTATCCCTGCCAAAGCCTAGGATAAACCCCTTAGGGCTCCATGCCTTTTCTGCGAGCTGCCCGTAGGGTGGTTTTTGAGTGGCTGCAAGAAACAAGTGGGGAGCCCGTGTTGACCCAGTTCGATTTTCCGCACTGGACATGAGAGTTGGGGATTTTGCAGAGACATGGTTGGCTCCCATTCCTCTCTCATATTTTCGTTTCTCGTTTTGTGGGTCTCGATGTGGCTGTGGGTCAAAAATGGGTACCCAAAATGGAACCCTGGCAAATGGAACCCAGGATAAAAACCTGGGGTCCAATTCCTGGTGGTTTAATTTTGACCCACACCCATATGATTTGAGCATCGATTTACTCGCCTGCAGCGAGCACGTCTTGCTGGCTGATCGCCGACTGCTCGGAAAGCAGCATCTGCGACGTGTAGCGCAGCCCAGGCGACGCAAAGGTGACCTGAGAGACCAAGAAAAACCTCTCGTCATGGACAAAAGAAACGTGGAATACAAGGAGCCCGGAAAATGAAACCCCCAAAAAAACTAGGTTTCACAGTGAGCCTTGGGCTTCTCCTACCTGAAAAAAGACCATGAAATGCGGATGCAAATGGCTGTTTGCTCTGAGTCGCCCGAACCTGGCAGGCCAACACAGAAATAGGCGCCCAGCAGAAAAAACAACAACAAACAAACCGCGCACGACCATGGATCCCGTTGGCCCTCCACGTGGCCCTTGGGCCTTGCGAAAAGCCAAGCTTGCGCGGATGAGGAACACAAGAGAGACCCTCTTCGCGGTCCCGCACCCTACTTCGAAGGACAATCTCTCGGTAACAAGGTTCCCTCATTCCCTTCTCGGAATCGCCCCAAACGAACACTCACTGTGGCCTGAGGCGGGGATACGTAGAACACCCGTCCACAAAGGTGTCCCAAAGTCACCGGTACAGCTCACCTTCCGACTGGGGGATCACACCCTTAAAAACCCCGAACCTGTTTCCATTCAAGATGATCCTCAAACAAGGGACTAATAAACCAAGCGCACTATTCATGGTTATCCTCCTAGGTTACACTCCGAGTCTCTAAGACAGGCGCACAGCCTACAAGGAGATAGGGACGGTTCTTGCCAGCGGTGTATGCCAACATCAGATTGCACTTCGCATGACTCGCCAACGAAACGTATTGATTAATCACAAGTCGTGCTGCGCAATGATGAATCCAAAAAACCGTTTGGATGCGCTTTTGGTGGATTTCATCTGTTCTTCCCCCCGTCGGTCCTTTTTTGTTATCTCTTAGTACTCTTTAAATCTCCAAAACCATCCGCACTTTCGCCACATCCAACCTGTCTTTTTGATTAACTTCCATTTGTATAAGCCGCCTGGAAAAAACCAAAACGAAGACAATCCAGTGGATGGAATATTCCCCAAAAAACAAACCATGGTTGGTTTTTTAGTAACAGACAACATATTGGCTGTGGGTCAAAAATGGGTACCCAACATAGACCCCTGGCAATTGGAAGGACTAAAATCTGCTGTCCCCCCCTGGTGGGATTTCGATCCGCACCCTCTTCACCTGGGAACAAAAAACACGAAAACAATCCAGTGGATGGAATATTGTCCCCCTCCCCCCAAAAAAAAAACAAAAACAAAAACAATAGTTGTTTTTTCATCTTTACCTTTTCCCCCCCCCCCCCCACAAAAAAAAAAAAACAAAAGAACACAAAATCAATAGTTGTTTGTTGGGTAAAATACAAACCTTCACTTCAGCAGATGCCCCCGAGTTTCAAGCCCCGCCCCCGATGGGTTGTGGGAGGCGCGGAGACCTGGCCCACTTCCAGGGCGACGAGCTTCGCCAGGCCCCCGCCCAGGGAGTGCCCCGTGAGGTAGAACCTGAGCGGACTGAGCAGCGGGCACCGGCGGGCACCGGTGGAAGCTGTGGCCGGCTGTAGGGCGGTAGGGGTTGATGTTCCTTTTGCTTTGCCAGTCTTTTCAACCATCGCGCTTTTCCAATTTTCAAAAAAAAAGGAAGTTTGCCCTCAGTTTCCGGAGGTTTCTAGAAAGAAGGATTATCTGGAAAGAATGGGGAAGGTACCCCTCAACCTGTGGTTGATTCATGGGACTCGCAAAGGCGAACCACCGATGTAGGAGGCGGGCCAACTAAGCCACACCCATTTACTCCCGATTTGTTTTCGGGGCGGTTGAAATGGAAGCCGCAAATTCTGTGATGCAACAGAAAGACGTAGCCCCAAAGACGTTCAACCCCGGAGACTATCACAGAGGTGGGGATAAACCCCGCGTGATCCCACAACCCCGCTGAGGATTGTCTCGGGAAATTGTGGGCTTCCTTTGCCTTGGGCGCAATGGTCGCGCAATAGAGTTTCTTTGATGCAAATCAGCTCGAATTCCGTCAACGTCGTGATGTACACGAATGCAAAGGCAAGCGCAGCAAGCGTGCAAGAAGAGCAAGCAAGTCTGTTCGCAGCTCGCAAAGGCTGTCGCAAAGAAAGCGTTGCAAGGAAACACGCAGATTGCCAAGTACTGCGATCTTTTCGTGACACAGCGCGTGGCGACCTGATGTAGTACCTGCAGCATTTCTTTGGTTTGTCGTATTGTTGTGGCAGCAAGTAAGTCCCAAACGTGCTGCCCGGTTGTATGGCTTCTGGCCAGTATTCTGCATTCGGGTTCGTGGCATATCATTTATTAGTTTCATCTTCTTCTTTTTTTGCGGGGGGGGGGGGAGGGCGGGCTCTATACCGACTATAACCATATAATATCTAGGTCATTGTAGTTCGAGGGGCGCTTTGCATTTATCCCTGGCATTTCCCTTGGCAAATAAGGGGTCCCTTCAGCGGGTCTCCATGGGCCGTTTTGGAGCGACCGGATTTTATTGCTCAAAGGAAGCCGAGGCATGTGAATGCGGACGGATGAATCACGTTGGGTGCACCCATTGCGTTAAGAAAGCAAATTTGTCTCGTGCTTACACAGGTTGGATCGCCCGACCTCCAAAGCTCAAACAAAACACTGCCCCAACTCAGCTAGCTCACTCTGAACTGGACCGACTTGCAAAGGGCCAACCTACCCATAGGCCGAAGCTCATGTTCTTTTTCCAGGCGGATGTTGGGCCCCTTGCTGGACACATTTCAAGAGTCTCTCACTCAAGCTGGGAGCTATTCCTAAGAAGCGGAAGCTCATTTGGCTGGTGTTAAGTGAAACCAAGGTTCACACGCGCACACAAACACCATGACAATGGTCATTGTTTGTAGCAACTCAAACACTGGAAATCAGAAAACCTCGAACTTTCGGGACCTTTTCAGACCTCGTTCTACCATCTGGTGAGCTCCTTGTATTTTGTCCATGTGGACATGCAGTTGATATGGTACCCACAAAGATGCCTCAAAAAGGTCAGGGCGAAATCAAACAAACCAAACGAACAATTCGGAGTTTTCTGCTTGGGCTCACTGGTTGCAAGTACGTTCAGGAACACCTACCATGCACAACTGCGGGTTGTGTCCGACACCGACATATGTGCCCTACGGTTCAAACCCGTAAACCCGAACCGACTTTGCCAAACTGTGATGCTTCGACCTGAGGCCTCTGCAAAAGGCGATATTTCAAACCCAAGCGAAAATAGGACATATAGTTGGAACCTTGTTGCAACGGGGATATGTCGACAACCCTGTCCTGAGAGAAGCCTACTTTTAACATCCTGTTTTAAGGGTAAGCATGTACATGTGAATATGTTTGTATTAATTATTATTTGTATCTATGTGTTTTTTGGAGGTTATCCAACTTTACTGTTCCTGAAAACACTCCAATCGCCGACCTTTCGCGCCCCAATCACGACCACAGTGGGACCATTTGCGGAGCACACGGACACTTGGTAACTTCTTCCCATCTTGGCAGCAAACATGCCAATGTTACCCCAATTGCGGGCCCATCGCCGGCCTTTTGTGATCCAGGCTTAATCGCGCACAACTAACGACATAAACTGAAGACATGCATTGCACTGTCATTGTGGACTCCTGGTTGCTGTCGACCCCTCAACAACTTCCACTTTTCAAAAGGGTCCAAGAAGCAAAAACACATCCACCGGCTCAACAGGTTTCAAGTCCAAAGACTGGTTTCTAGGACACACACATAGTTGGCTGCGTTTCAGTCATGCTCCAAAACTAGGACTCAACTCATGATTAGATTGAGGCCCAGTTCTAGAATGAATTTTTTATTGTTTGCTTCACTTTGAGCCACTAAAATGCAAGATGTATCCTAAGTCTACCCCAGACTTGAGCTGGTGATATGGCTGTGGTTGTCCAAAATCGGGTAACCCCAAAATGGGTTGCCCTGGTAAATGGAACCAAGGACGATTTAAACTGCGGTCCAATTCCTGGTGGTGCAAAATTTTGACCCATACCCATATATGAGTCTACCCCAAAAATGGTGACGTTCCTTTGGCTTCCAAAGACCCAACTCCGGGTGGCAACACTCTCCAAGAACTGATGAGTTGCAACCGTCTCCAAGGCGATCGATCCCGTCCGCTTCAAGTTCCCAGGCACCGGCGCTTGGGAGCCGCGGCCACCTGGCCGAAGCGACAGACTGGGTGAACCGCCGAGCCATGGGTGCAGCCTTCTTCGTTTTTTGCTTTCAAGGTATTTACGTTCTTTCGGACAGCCACTTTTTTCTCTTCTTATTTTTTCTGGTGTTATGGTATTTACGTTGTTTCGAATCAGAAACCAGGGGTTCTGAACGGTGCGAGATGGAGTTCGAAAAACCATCCACAGTATGGAGGTTCAAAAGGTCCTTTGCATGGGTTGATCAAAAGGACCACCAAAAAAGATGAATGACGTTCACACTAAATTGGAAGAGTTACCCATGGTCATTTTGGGGCCAGGAATATTCATCAGCGCCCATATGGCTGCCTTGCTGTTCCGGGTACCCCTTTTTGGCGGGTTTAAACGAAACATAAACCGCCATGTTGGGTCATTGAAACACACACCCATGTATGAACTCGTGTCTGCACCTCCGTGAGCCTGGAGGAAGCTCTACAGTGTAACCACCTCCCGGAATTGGACTGCAGGTTAACTCGCCCATGGTTCCATTTACCAGGGCAGCCCATTTTGGGGCTACCCGATTTTGGACAACCACAGCCACTTCGCTGCATTTTGTGAACCTCTCTCCAAGCTCGCTGCATTTTGAACCCATTGTAAGATGTTCCAAGTCAGCCATCAGACAAATGCAGACTTAGCTTTGGTCATTAGGCACCAGGATGGTGCCTTAAGATCAGACCTGTTGCTTCTCCGAATGGCTCCCGGAACTTGATTCTGAAGCGTCGGTTTTCTCGACCGCTGAATGTCTGCGCCCGAAAGCAGCTCTTTGGCTCTTTCCAAGCAAGTTAACGTGTGCCACAAATGGTCCGATGTCCCACCAGCCGTGACATCGGGTCAAATCACGTGCATCATACTCATAAGCTGCAGCTGTCAAGTCGTGCCAGAACTCCTGCGCTTGGTCAGTGTCCCATTGCGACCCATCACGCCCATCCAGGTGCAAAAACTTGCAGGGTGCCAAAGTCCTCGTGCTTGACATTGAGGGCCCCTTCAAAGGTGTTGCACCTGCACAGTGTCCCGGTCAGCAACGTTTCGCGGATGGAATTCAGTCGGCGTTCGCAGCAGGCAGAAGAGGCGTGTCAATTACAGCTTCAGCTGGGCACCACGCCACATGGCGGGGCTCGCAGTTGCTGGTGCTGGCGGCGCCATCCGGCTGTGGGCAAGCTCTGGCACGCCTGTCTGCAGGATACTCCCATCTGTGTGTAGCAAAGGCCGCCGCAACTCTTGCCGCAGCAGCCCAAATCCCGGAGTTGGGACTGAATGGAACAAGGCTCAATGAAATGCTTTGGGCAAAAACATTTCTCGGTCAAAATCTCGGCCGCCAGAAGTACTATGCGGATGGCATACAGGCTAGTCCTGTCAAGTCTTTCCATGGCGATCGCTGAGACATGGGCGCTTGCACAGTCATATCTGCTGAAACGCTACTTCAGCAAAGGATCAGTGGTAGTTGAACTATGATGCTCTAGTTTTGTTCTGAGCCGAAAGCAACCATCGCAGGTGCCCTTAGCCAAAGGCAATGACCAACGACTGCTCTCAAGTGCTGCAGCCCCCAACGTAGTCTCCAACCTGAATCTTGTGTGTTCCCAACATAGGGGAACCATCGTATGTTCATCACCGGGATGCAAAACACATTGCAAACCCAAACCTGTCCAACACACTGCACAAGCACAAGCATTCAGGAAAAAAAAAAACAACTAGGCGTGTTTAAACATCCTGATTCTGGTTCGGGGTATCTCAATTGATCACCAAAGGACATTCACATAGGTTTAAGTCCAGAACTGTCCCAATAGAAGCTGTTCACCCACCCGTTGAGTTGGCCAGTTTAAAGGTGGTTGACGGCAACTGGGCTGTCCTCAGATCTGCTAATAAATTATTTGCGGGTTAAATGGAAACCCAACCACCAAACCGACTAAAAACCTTTTCAACCGAAGGAACTACAGATCATGACCCCTTCTGCACAGCCTGATAGGGCCGAGCAAAGGAAATTGCCGCACCTTGGCGCGCACGTGCTCCAACAAGACCTGGAAGAAATCCTGGCCGGAGACGCGCTAAGATGGGAATTGCTTTGGGGTTTGCCTTCGATCTTGCTTGGGGCGCTGATGGAAGGGTTCGGAGAATGCCTCGGCTCCCCGATGTTGCAACCCACTTCGTGCCCCCAAGTAGCAAGTCTACCTTGTAAGCGGGCTATCACCTGGCCGTGCGTTAAATTGCAGTCCTAGACGAAACAAACACATACCCATCCCTTTCTATCCCTTTTTGCCCACCATTCGGACACCAAGATCCAACAATGGCTGAAAAACGCGCGTTCCCCGCGTTCGACGCCTTGTCGATGGTGGGCAGGCCCGCAAAGAGCCCGAAGACCGTCTTGGTGACGGACGAGGTGAGGTCAGGACCTCAACCACGGAAGCCAAACGGGTCACAACCAACCAGCCAGCCACCCAACTAACCAGCCAGCCAGCCAGACAGCCAGCCACCCAACAACCAGCCAGCCAACCAACCAACCCACCCCAGCCAGCCAACCAACCAACCCACCCCAGCCAGCCAACCAACCAACCCACCCCAGCCAGCAACCAACCAACCCACCCCAGCCAGCCAACCAACCAACCCACCCCAGCCAGCCAGCCAACCAACCCACCCCAGCCAGCCAGCCAACCAACCCACCCCAGCCAGCCAACCAACCAACCCACCCCAGCCAGCCAACCAACCAACCCACCCCAGCCAGCCAACCAACCAACCCACCCCAGCCAGCCAACCAACCCACCCCAGCCAGCCAACCAACCAACCCACCCCAGCCAGCCAACCAACCCACCCCAGCCAGCCAATTAACCAACCAACCCACCCACCCCAGCCAGCCAACCAACCAACCCACCACCCAACCAGCCAACCAACCAACCCACCCCAGCCAGCCAACCAACCAACCCACCCCAGCCAGTCAACCAACCCACCCCAGCCAGCCAACCAACCAACCCACCCCAGCCAGCCAACCAACCAACCCACCCCAGCCAGCCAACCAACCAACCCACCCCAGCCAGCCAACCAACCAACCCACCCCAGCCAGCCAACCAACCAACCCACCCCAGCCAGCCAACCAACGCACCCCAGCCAGCCAACCAACCAACCAGCCAGCCAGCCACCCAACCAGCCAGCCAGCCACCCAACCAACCAACCCACCCCAACCAGCCAACCAATCAACCCACCAGCCCCCAACCAACGAAACAAACAAACAAACAAACAAACAAACAAACAAACAAACAAACAAACAAACAAACAATCAAACACCCCCCAACCACGACGAGCCACTTGACCAGCCAGCAAACTCACCACCCACCAAACCAGCCACCCAACCAGCCACGAAACTGGCCACCTGCCAACCAACCAGCTAGCTAAGCCAGCAACCCAAGAAGGGAAATCAGCCCTAGACATCTGATTCGCCAACCTGTTCAAGAAGGAAACAAAGCGCAGGGCTCTTTCCAGTCTCGGATCGGATCGGTGGGTTCGCGTGCGCGGGCGCGAAACCAACAAGTGCGCGGGCGCGAAACCAACAAGAAGGATGGCCCTTCCGCAAGAGTAATGTTGATCCCATATTCATCAACCCCAATTTGATATAATGGGGGTGTCCCTGGTTTTGGTGGGGAATCATCACTTTTGAAGGGCGCGCCCGCATATTAATGAATTGGGGTTGATTAATATATGGGGATAATTTAAATATGCGGTCAACATTATTTGGCTCTCTCGTCTCAATATGTCAATGGGGCTCCGCCCCCAAGTTCCCTGCCGTGCATTTGCGTAAGGGCTTGGTTTATACGCAAGTAGGCGTTGTTCTTTCGATACTTAAACTGAGACCTGACGCTGCCTTCCAGCCTCCACCCAAAATGGGTATATTTGATGTATCATCTGTAAGGTAGGCCCGCTCAAATGGCAGCGCGCTTTGCCAAAAGCACTGCGAAGGGTTCTTCAGGAAAGATCTGGAGCGGATTGCACTAGCAAGTAGCACAGGCAAGTTGCATTAGCAAGTAGCACCAACCAGTTGCGCTCGCCAGCTGCGAAGCAAGTAGCACTGGCGAGTTGCACTAGCAAGTTGCACTAGCAAATAGCACTAGCGAGTTGCAGTAGCAAGTTGCACAAGAGATTTGCACGAGAGCTTTTCAGTGTACTACACTTGATAAAGGGTGCGGATTTATTTATTTTTTCGGATTTTTTGTCTGTTTTCGTCCGGGCCAGTAAATTGTCGTATTGTACAGCATTTTCTCGCGAAATTGACGCATTTTACACTAGCCGTCAACATCCCCAGCATCGTTTTCAACATCCCCCGCATGTCCGGCCAACATCCCTAGCATCACCAACAAATTCGTGGGTAACAAAATCCAACAAGTAGCCGGCGGGTTGACGGGGTCAACAAAATAATGATTCAAACAGGAGGGCGTTTCAATCCCGGAAACGCCAAAAAAAACTAAAAACTATTGAAGAAAACAGCGAGGGGGTTGGGGGGGGGGGGGGCGGCAGCCCCCCTGATGGTCGCAGAAGTGATGATTCGAATAGGGGTGCAATTAAATCTCTGCAAAAAGTCAAAAAAACAAGCGGGGGGGTCGGGGGGGCGGCAGCCCCCCCCAAGATGTTCGAAGAATTGATGATTCAACTAGGGGTGCAATTAAATCTCTGTAGAAAATCTAAAACTTAGCGGGGGTTGGGGGTGGCGGCAGCCCCCCCGATGATGTCGGAAGAAGTGATGATTCAAGTAGAGGTGCAATGATTCAAGAAAGGGTGCGATAGATTTTAAAAGGCAGCGGGAGGGTTGGCGGGGCTTCCCCTATGATGTTCGAAGAAATGCATACATACAGACATGCATGGATTACACAGATTACCTAAAATGTCGTATTTTGCAGCATTTTCTCAGGAAATTGGATGCTCGAAAAAGTGATGATTCAAACAGGGGTGCAATTCAATCTCTGCAAAAGTAACGGGGGGGAGGCGGCAACCCCCCCCCATGATGTTTGAAGAAGAGTTCCTGGAAAGCCAAGTATACACTTTTAAATGTGAACTGATCACTGTGACCGAATTTCAGTCACTTTCAGGAAAGTGGCGGTTTTCCCAATCCAAGTTTGGCTCAAGCGGCAAATTGTTTTCTCCACATCGCCAAATCGGTCCGGTTCGGAACTCGCTACCATCGCGTGGCCACGCACACCAAGTAGCGCTGCAAAGTCCGTGACTCTATTAGTCTAGGCGACACCGACCTTGTCAATGTTGAGACTTTCCCAACAAAATCTTCATCCATTTGCACCGAATGTGCAATCGGATTGACTGTCTCATGATCCCCCACCCCTCCACGCTGTAAGGAGTGGATAAGGTGGGCAAGCATATGAAACTTAGGATTAATTTTGTAGCGTGTCCACTTGCGAGCAAAAGCGTAGCTTGCGCAGCGGCTGTACAAGAAGAGAAGTTTCTTGCCATGAGCGGCGATCCTGGCAGCGTCTGAAGGCTTTAGCCAAAAGGGTTGCCAGTACAGCTCAGCCATGAACAGGTTTCCCTCCTGTAGAGCATCAGTGATCCATTGCAAGTACTCTTCGTGCTCATCATCGTAATCAGCCAGCGCCCGCTCACAACGCCACTGCAAGAAACTTGTGAGTACCGTGGTGTCAGCGCCTTTGAACCAATTCCTCAGCACCAAAATTGCCCGAAACACGAAAGAAAACTCAAACACAAAGCCTAAAACTTTCAACAAAATTTGCACATGCAGTGAAAAGGGTCCCAGTTGGATAGTCCGATGAACGTTTCCAGCCAACAAGGATGGTGCTCAGGTTAGACATGTGCAGCTGCTTGCCACGCGCACCGCACCAGACTACCAGATCACTGTACACAGCGTCCAAGCGCTTCGCCACGCTTCCCTCACCGTAGATCCGCAGCTCTTCGATCAAAGTCACCTGGGCCGGGGCAATGGTGCCCAAAATTGGACCCCGTAAAAACGAAACATCCCGCACCAATTGAAGCTACACAAGTGGCTATTGTGCTGGCTGCCAGATCTGCCAACACCCCTTTATGCATTGTGTGGAAGAGATCGATCTTGAAAAAGTCAGCACTGTCCGTTTCATCATGCGGGATCTTCATCAAAGGTGAAGGAGTAGTCCAAGGAAGAGGCGCCGTGTCCATTGTGTCCAGCCAAGCTGCAGAGTCATCCCACTCGTGCCAGGCATAGCCAGTTTGGCCTGCAAGGCACAAGTGGCAAATCCCTGCTGGGTTGTTGCTCCCAGGAGCGTCTCTCAGATGATGTCGATTCAAACGCCCGCATTTCGTCAATGCTGGCCAGTCGCCCTTTAGCCCCAGAATGCAGAGATGCAAATTGGTACGCTGATCATTGATGACCACCTCTATGCCATTCTCAAACGCATTTGTACAGCTGTCTGCAAAGTGACTCAACAAAGCATAGAGCGGCGCCTTGTTTCTCGCATAGGTTTTCGTCATCATCACGCTAAAGAGGATGCGCGTGAGGAACGTGTCACCTGAGAAGTTTACATCGGCGGATCTGCGACTGCCGGCCCCAAGAGCCGATTGCAGCGACAGAACAAGAACACCCCGTTTCTTGATAGACGTACCCTCGTTTGCGTGAAGGAAACAAGGCACACACCGGCTGAGGCACATGTTCTTCTTGAAACACGGGTGCTCTGGGCGAATGCGCTGATACTTATGCCAGAACGATTGGTAGCTCTCCAACGTTTGGCCTTGCATCAACACCTGCAGCTGTCCAGCCCTTGACAGGGCCTGTATATACTCTGAAACCCCAAGGGTGGGATGGAGTTGCGCCAGCCCAATATCAACATCGGACACTTCGCAATCAACCTGTAGCCCGTAGTCCACAAACAGCGATGGCAAGCGGTTCGGATGTCCTGTTTGGTGCAAATTTGCCATAGACCGAACCAGTTGACCACTGGGCATAGTTTGTGCGTCCCCAACAGTCGCTGCTTCATCGTAGAATGCGTGCGCCAACTGGCAAGCCGCCGCTTCGCTCACCTAAATTGTTCACGTCATGCATGAACTTAATTGAACCAGAAGGGGGCGAACACCGACACCAAAAGTATAAGAAATGGATGCACTTTCTTCCAAGGCACACCACCTCCCACTGCGCGAGCAATGGCTCTACCCAAAGGCCCACACGCGCGGCTTCGCTTCTGCACCTGCTCGCTGAAGGAACATGCATGCCTGTACCATGCAAAAAGGACATCTGCAATCTGCGATGAGCATCAAGCCGCAACCATGCACCGGACAGACAACCCTTTTCCGATCGTTTCCCCTTGCAGAGATTTTCTGCTCCGCCAGATTCAGCCGTATCGGCCAAACTAAACCCCACATTGGAATGCACAAGCCCAGCATACCTAGATAGCCAAGTTGCTGTTTGTTTCAG